TTACCTCTTCAGTGACCCAGAGGTGTTGGTTGGACACATAGTATTCGTAACTCGTACAATGGTCCGGGATCGACTGGTACTCCACGTCTTTCCCCGGATCTTTCCCTCCACATCAGCCCGGCACTTGAGGGAGAGTCGACCTTCTGCTCCAAGTTGTGCCTGGCGGTAGCAAAAGATCCCTCTAGACCATCCCTGGCAGGTAAAAAGGTGGTCGCCGGTGTACTGAGTGGGTGTGCTTCGGCATCAGCATCCTGTCTTGAGCTCTTGCGCGAGCTGCATTTGAAACGAGACCGCTAAAGCCAGGAAGTTCGGAACGGGACAAGACAGTTTCTGGGCCTTCGTGAAAGATTCTGCCTGAGCGCAAGTGTGAATCTCTGACGTCCCCTAAGTCGATGAAAGCAGTACACTTTCCCCGCAATCCTTTAGCTGTCTTCATAGACGGACCAACAGCAGGGTCAGGATCCTCTTCGTGTTTTGTCTTGGAGGCTCACCACTACCCGGTACGGGAACCGTACTCATAGACCTGCCAACACGTAGCCAGAGAGACAGACAACTATGCAACTTCGATACACAAGGATCATAGAGCCTCGGGATTTGTCCCCCTCAAAAGGTTCCACTCTCCCCCCACATGGACCTCCGTGCCGAGATTAATATTGTTGCCGATATAATAGTCGCCGTCCTTGGTATTGGAGCCTATGTAGGTAGTTGATAGATCTACTGTAGCTAGTTCTCACATACTTTTACACTTTTTTTCACGTGGGCGAGCAGGCGAGGTAATGTCGCCAAGCCACGTGATCAAAGCTTGGCCCCGCGCTGTCAAAGGCTGAAATCGCATGCCGAGTCACCTTTCATTAGCACCACCATGACGACCCTACAGAGCCCGTCGATTTTGCTCCAGCCTATTGACAAGTGGACTCCACATCATCTCAACTTTCTACAGGTGGACGACGGCCAACCTTTCATATTCCTGAGTGATATCACAATAGAAACGGATCAAGGTACATGGTACAATCTCTGCCCCATGCGCGATGAATTCTGACTTGCGATCTCAAGCCGACAATGAATTCCTAGAATATTTTTTGATTCCCACTCAAGATGTGCTCAACTTCCCCCACTGCCGTTCTAGATATCGAACCAATCCTTTCCGTCGGGTTTTCAGCCATCTCCATCGAGTTGTCGAAGTCGCGGACGATCCTTCCGTACAGATAGGTCTTATTGAATCTCTTGTGGAGGTGCTGTTGAGTTTCAGCCCCAGGCGCGCTGTACTGTATGGGACACAGCTGAGAAAATGGACGACACTGATGAAATATGTAGAGTCACAAAAAGAGCCGAACCTCTAAAAATTGGAGGCCTACGAATCAAGTGCGATGGACTTTTCATACAAGACCAGCGGACACTCGTCCCGGTGGCGACATTCTTGGTAGGAAGAAACCAGGTTCCACGGAAGAATATCCTTCTAAGCACAGACTGCAGGCTTTAAGGGGGTCTGATGACGACAAGATTCGCGAAATTCAACAAATCCTTGCCCAAGCAATTCTTGCGTTCACTCAACGACCCGAGATGGATGAATTTATTAGCTTTGTGGTGTGCTCGACCGGAGCGACGTTGTACTTGGCCAGTGCCCATGTCACCCGAGGCTACATCGAATCTCTTCGCAAATATCAACGACCGAGCCTACGGTTACAAGTCTGTCGCTCTGCAGTCTACGAACTGGAGATTTCGGATGGTAGGAAGGACGTAGCGATGCTTCTGCTGAGGATGCTGAAATACTTGGACGAGAGAAAACTGCCATAAAAGACTTGGATTCCACAACGACCCCTGCCGCGTCCGCAAATCATATCCCTGAGATCTGCCCACAAACAAGCACTCACTTATCGGCATTGTTGGGCTATGGAGATGGGAAAGATACGACTCCTTTATGTCTACGACGGTCAAACATACGACAGTACCGTGGGTGCTGGCGACCAAGGCATGTTGGTCTTTTCATCCACCGAGCTCTAGGGACTGAGCAGTGGCTTGGCCTAGAAGTTCAGCCGCCTCTTGACCCAGTGGACGCGCTGTCCACTCTCCCGTCTCGCTACTGGGTCGATGGATTCTGCCTGCGCTTCGCCTTTTGGCCTGGAAGCGAGTAAGTTGGCTCAGCACTCGACGACGTCCTTAATAACCTTGATGGAAGCGTACACGTTGTCGAGGCGAACAAACGTTGTAGCCAATAGGAAACCTCCCCCTAGAATGACATTACCCAACCAGGAACAGAATCTTCCGTTCGAGACCGCTGGGCCTCAGTCAGGGGGTTGATACGTCGATCAGATCGATTGAGACATCTACACATTACATCAGCACCCACACAGAGTCAGCGAGCGATAAGTGCCAGAGAGCAGACATGTCCGCCTTTGTAAAAGGCACCTTGGGCTCAAGAAATGGAAGAAAAGGACTCCTCACCTTGTGGCACTGGTACTTGGTCAGCCCCAACTTCCGGGTGGTCCCTCATATTCCAATACTCGGCAAAACTAAACGTCGCATCCTGGAGAGAGACGAGGTTCCCATGATCGTCCCATTGAATATTGTCATGCACCCATAGGGGGTCCGCACGATTGGTGTTGGCAATAGCCTGGACCAGGCAGATGTCGATGACCTTTTCCTGTCCACCCTGCCTCCAGAGGCAAAAGCAATGGCACGAGAAATCCGTGCGCCACTGGTCTGTCTCAACGAGTCTGGATTGGTCGAACGCGGCATAGAAAGGATTGTTGCAGGGAGCATTCGTCCCAATCAGGACGCTGGGCTTGATAAAGCCCCAGGGTCGGACTTCGCAGGTTCGAGTCTCAAAAAACTATCAAGGGGTGAGATCAAAAGCGTCTGGGCTTTCTTTTTTTCAGGTACACTCACATCGATTTCGCGGCCCGTTTGCAGATCCGTCCGCCTGCCGAATGATTTGAATGCGTAGTTGACAAATGCGCCCAAGTCAAAACAGTTACAGCTTGGGTGATATTTACTCAGCATCGAACCCAAGAAGAAAACTGACCCACGAAGATAGGATGGAGCACCTTCAAGTGAGTCATAGGTAAGACCTGATCCGGCAAAGTCCCAGAGTTGTTGAACGACATGTGCAACTAGGACGATTTTCACATCCTCCGGAGAAAGGGTCGTGGAAGCTATGTCGCCATACTCGGGGATGGTCAACTCGATCAATTCAAATACGTGAGCCGGAATACTCTCCTTGTCGGGTGAAAGGGCACTCGGTTTGGCTATGTGGAAGCTCGGATCGCCCAAGAAGAAGTAAATTTCCAGTGGCACCTGGCATCGAGCAACCACCAGCGTGGGTGGTCCAACCTCATACAAATCCCAGATCCAAAGTCCCGTGGCCTTGAACGGGAAATGCACCTTGTCCATCTTGCCATACAGGAAGGTCGTGTCGAGTTTGGTCTCGCCTCCCGTCGCACCGCCATCTAACTGGAACTGACGGCTGGTAATCGGATAGCTGTGTGTCTCTCCCGGATCAGGGATGACCGGTGGTCGCCTGTCATCCTTGATCGAACTGCCGCGAAGATAGTAGCGATGTACCCCGGGAGGAACAGTAATCTGCGCTGAGATTTGCAGAGGGATGGACACCTCGTTCTCTTCATCGGGGATCAGCTTCAAAGCAATCGGGTGCCGCTGATTGGAGTCATCGTAGATCACAGTTGGCACTTGACGTGGGGCCTGTTCTCCGACCCTCCAGATTGCTTGATGGGCGGCGTGGGGGACGGTGGCGATTTGAGTAATTGAGAAGCCGTTCATTATGCTGAGTGTGCGCACGAGACAGCTGCTGAAAAGCCAAAAGGAATCCTGGTAAATGGTATTCCTAGAACAGTCAATTTGGTCTGAGAGTCTCGAAGACAGCTCCGAGGGATAATCTCCTTGCTTCAGATATGATTGCTTCGGAGGAAGTGTGAGAGAGACAGAAGGGGGGAACCAGCAGGGAAAATACCGTCGAGGTCGGGGCCCGTGCCGCTGAGAAGAAGAAGAAGCTCAATATTATGCACATGGCACGAGGCGCTGCTGCTCATGATGCGAAAGACACCCCAGGGTAGACAGGCAGCTGCCCACCCCCTCCTGGTGTCCCCCTCGTTCCATCCCAAACCACTCTCTTTTCTGGTGTGAGAGTCGAAGTTGAGATTTATTGGACAGCAAGCCGGAATATGACCTTGTCAGAGACCAAGTCAACAATCTCTGCGCCCGACTCGAGTGAGTTGAGTCAAAGTGAGGCTGAGGCCCCTCGCTGGAATAGGTCAGACCAGTGTGACAAGTGACTTATACTAGCCATGCACGCCAACCTCGAGCACGAAGCAGACAACGTCCAGACTGCCATCGACCCAGGCCAACGCAGACTCACTGGACCTTTCTGTGTAACTTGAGCAGAAGCCTTGGGTTAGCGCGACGACGGCGACGGCAGCGGTCGCAGCACCACCGACGTGCTGGGGGCTCCTGGTTTGATTCGTGGTCTCCTTCCACGCAGGGACGCTAGTTGGAGCGCAAACGGACAAAGGGATGCAAGTGACGGGATGAACAAATCCGATGCTCCGTGGGATCCATGTTCGATTTGAGCCTCACCAGTATGCAAGTTGACCTTGGGCTTGACTCGGTCTTCGCCTATCTATCCGTGTACTGTACCCGGATACACATGTTTCCGAGTACCAAGCAGGAGGTGCCAGGGTGCCAGGTCTGTAAAGCCAGTCGGGAACCGTAGATATCGACCTTATGTGACAGGATTATTCAGCGGTAAAAGAAAAAGGCAATAGGGCACTACGAGTAGTGGAATTCGAGACTACAAGGCAAGCAAGTTGCTTGTTTAGAAGCCTTTGCAGACGGGGGCATACGTAGAATACCATAGCTACCGGGCGTACATACATCTCGAGACCCAAAGTAATCAATAGTGGTGGCGACAGGGGAGGTTCTTGTGTTGTCAATACGCCCATGGTATTAATAGCCTCCGCGTCATACACCTCCTCAGAACTTTTCTTTTACACCTTGTCCGCAATGGACTGGCCAGTCTGCTCGCCGGGCATCTTGAAGACAATCTTATGGACCTTGCGGGCCTCAAAGTCCTTGTAGGCCTGGGGCGCGTCCTCGAGGGACATGGTGCGGCCGCACAGGAAGGCGACCTTTTTCTGCTCCTTGACCAGGATGTCGAGTGCGTCCTCAAAGATGCTGCGCACGGGGCAGCGGCCAAAGGCCATGGTGACGTTCTTGCCGTAGCACAGCAGGCCGTTGAGCGGGATCGTCTCCGTGTGCACGCCGATGGACGAGATCTGGCCAAACGGCCGGATCATGTCAAAGGCTAGCATGAAGGCGTCGGCGTGGCCCACCACCTCGAGCACCACGTCGGCTCCGCGTCCGCCGCTGGCCGCCTTGATCTTCTCCACTGGATTGTCGTTCAGGTTGATCGGGATTGCCCCAATCTTCTCCGCCTCGGCCAGTCGTTCCGGGATCGAGTCAATCGCGTACACCGTCTTGACCATGGTCAGCGCGCACGTAATGGCGCAGATACCCACGGGCCCGCACCCGATCACCACCGTCGTGAACTCGTCGCGGTCACGCTGCGGGAGGTTCTTCAGGAAGCGCTGTGCCGCGAAGTACCCCGTGGGGAAGATGTCGGCCATGAGAACGAGCATCTCCTCAGGAATTCCTGTGGTGATGATACACACGTCAATGAGAAAAGCTCGCTTTTCAAGGAAAGAAAAGAACAGCTGGTGCTCAAAGAGGGAGAGAGAATACTCACCAGGCGGAGCTTTGACCAGAGTAGTATTCGCCAACGGCACCCTCACGTACTCGGCTTGTCCGCCATCGATCGCGTTGGCCGGGACCGAGTTACCAAACAACTCGCCTTTGCTGCACCGACTGGCCTGTCCGCGCACGCAGTAGTAGCATTCCTGACAGGCCGTGTAGAAGGGAACCACGACCTTGTCGCCAATGTTGAAGTTGGTGACGGCGTCGCCTTTCTCGGCAATGGTCCCCACAAACTCGTGACCGCAGATGAAGTTTGGCGGGCACTTCAGATGGCCTCGGTAGAAATGGAGGTCCGAGCCCTAAAAAGAAATGCGAGAGAGATGTTCAATATGAAGACGATCGTGGGTTCAAAAGAGGAATGGCGGGTAGGAATCACTTACGCATAGAGCAGTCGAAGTGACCTTGAGCACGGCGTCGGTCGGCTTCTGGACCTTCGGGGTAGGTCTGTCTTCCACCTCGACCTACAACGCGAGAAACGAAACATCAATACCAGTCAGGTTTTCGGCTTTCGCCCGCGAGTTGAACAACACATTTTGGAGGCAGGCAGTAGATCCAGATCCAGCCAAGGACCCTCGAATCCCATGGAGGAAAAATGTTCTGACAAGGCAAAGAGATCCCCAAAGCCGCTTCCGGGAAAGCGACCTTTTCTGGTCGTTGATCGAGCCAAGGCTTGCAAAAGAAGCAGTGATTGGTTTCTTGCCTACTTACATGGAAGTCACCCTTCAGGACGACGGCACGCATTGTAGCTGGAGGCATTTTGGGGAATGGCGACGAGGGGTTCTCTCTTAGCTTCTCCTGCTTCAGCTTTCGCTCACTGTCGTGCTTGCCGGGTGTGAGAATTGCCTTCGACGTAGATCAAAGTCGAGTGAACCTAGGATCGGATCTAATGCGAGGGGGAGGAGGTGGGGAGAAAAGGGAAATAGCTTGAGAAGAGCCGAGCAAGTCGTTCTCCGGGATGCAAAACTGCAATGCTTGTTACTGCTCTGGGACGAAGCCTAGTCGCTTAAAGGGATCTTGACGTGCCTGGGATGTCGAATGTCGAGACGTAAAACGTAGATTATATGAAGGTGAGAATGTGGGCTGCTGTCGTCTCGATCGAAATCGTCATGAGACTTGCTTCTCCTCGTTTTTTGTTTTCCGCTTCCCTCAACCATTGCCCGTTCCCCCTCCCCTTTAAAATGCCACATCCGATCCTTCTCTACTCTCGGAGAAGCGGGGGTTCTTTTTCGTTCAAGCGAGTTCCCCGCCCGTGCAACCGTTGGTTTTGGGGGGCGAGTCGTGCCGCGGCAATGCGATTTGGGCTGCGAACATGCGGGGGAAAAGAAGGATTAATGAGTTGGTCTGACGACGAGGCTGAAAGCCCCGTGGAGCCCTTGGCTCCTCGCTGGATTTGGCCCTGTCACGTGCTCGCTGAGAACTCCAAGTCGGCCTTGGCAGCCTTGTCACTGTCAATTATGTCATATACCCAGATATCCAGATCCAGATACCCGATATCCAGCAATGCCAGTTACCTAGGTACATGCGAGATCCGGAGTCTTGCTTGTACACATAATCTCTGACTCACAATGCCTGGCATACTGTTCATGGTCATACAACATTATCATTTCGGGTCGTCCTTGGTCACCAAACTTTTACTGTCCTTTATCCAATAGTACCATAAGTCACACACTATATCACAATTGACCAACACCCCTAGCGTCACCTGCCCAGATGTCATTTAGTAATCAACTCCATCGTACGCACTCCCGTCATACCTCCTCCGGATGCTTGGCGGATAGCTACGCATGCCCGCGCTCTGTTGCCCTTCACTGGGATGTAGCGAGCTGGAATCCTGATTCTGGTCGCCCTGGTATGTCGACGACCCAGATCTTCGGCTGTATGTCGAAGCAGCATATGTCAAAGCCTCCTGTGGCAGATCCTTGACCTCATAAGAATGGTCGCTCGCCTGTCGTACAGGCTGGGGTTTGACATTCGCCCCGTAGTTGGGGTATCGGGCTTGTTGGCTGGGAAGCAGTGCACGGCCACCTGTAGCAGTCGGACTGGCTGGCATGGGGGAGGTGACATTGTTGAACGCGGCGCTGGCGCCGGCCATTTGATCTCGTGCCGACACGGGATTTCTCGTCGCAGCCGACGACGAGGAGAAAGCGTGGGTGATAAAATCAAAGCTGGGCACTGACGCCGGAATCGAGTTTCGGAATGGATTACCTTGGTCTTCGTACGGACTGTCCTGCCCTTGCTCCACGGGTGTTTTCAATGCGCTCGGAATGGCTGACGTCGGCGTGGCAGTAGCCGTGTACGACGTGGGCGTGTTTTCGTTGCTACCGTGTATTGAGTATTCATTCGGGTTGACCACAGACAGCTTAGGTGGTCGTCCTTGTGAAAGGTCAAGTCGTGACCCTTGAGGAGTATAATCGTCAAGTTGCTGATCTGGGTCAGCATTTGGGTCGAAGAACTTTTCGTCCGTCAGGTAGGGATTGGATCTCTCGTCCATATCGTCGAAGTTGGTGCTTGGCATTTCAACTATCCCCTCCGGAAGAGTATAAGGCTTGTCGCTCAGCGACACTCCGGTCTGGTTGCCATCGGACGCAGCAGGATCATACAGTCCCGTTGGGTCAATCTGATAATGGTTCGGTGGCAACGTGAAGGGAAGCTCGGGCACGATGCTCGATCGGCTGGACACTCGATCCCCCTGGGCGTTTCCCCTGAACTCGGAGGCAATCGAAGCTCGTCGCTGGTCTTGCTGATTCACTGATAGCGTTTTACTCATCATACTAGGAGCTTTGCGCTCGCCGGGTGCTGTAGACATCTGCCCTTCTGGGCCCTCGCCGTCTCGAATGCCAAACTGGGCGATGGTACGCAATTTCCTCGTTACCCATGAGGCCAGAATCTTGCCTCTCTGCTTCTCCGACAATCGACTTCGGGGGAAATCGCCGTCACCAACAAATGCCACAATGTCGACAACGATTTGATGCTCGTGAAGAACGGCATTAACAATGACCGGGACAATAGATGCCAGGTATGATTTCCGGAAGACTTCCACCAAGACAACAACCATGCCCCCGGCCTGAAAGACCGCACACCCACCAGGAGTAATGTTCCGATGACACTTTTCAATAGTGCTCTCGATGTCGATCGGAAAATGATTAAGCCCATTGACTTCAAACGTCTCGCCGATGCTGCCCAACACGAACAATATTTGCATCTCCACAGGCTGCCCGCCCGGTCCAATAGGTCTGGTGACGTTGTGCAGAAATCCTAGATCCCCAGTTCGGACATAGGTTGCATTTGGATCCCCACCCAAGATACGTCCGTTGAACCTTTCTTCATCAAATACCTGCTTCGACATGTAGAATGACTTGGCGCAGGCTTCGGATTGAACCCAGATTTCGCCAAATTCTCCCACATGGCACAGTTGGCAAGTTTCGGGATTGACGACCGCAATGCGGGTAGACACGGGTACCATGCCCGAATCTTGAACGCATAGAGCGGTTGGATCAGTGTCAGGGTCAACCGGATAGATGAGCCCTCTTCTCAATGCGCGCACATCAAGCCAGAGCTCGATCGGCTCAATTGACATGTAGCTGCGAGACGCAATCATGGGGTTGAGCACATGAGCGTAGATCGTGTTGATGGCCGTCCTTTCGAGGCCTGTCTGCGCGAAATGTAGCCTCGCCTTCGAGAATAAGTCAAGACGAGGTCTCGATTCGGTCGTCACCATCAGATTCTTCAACTCATGCAGAGAAAACCCTTTGCCCACGACGTGCCCCATGGCGAAATCCAGCATTTGGCTGGTTGCATAAGTATCCTTGACTTTATACCGGGACAATGCCTGAAACAGGGAGCCAGGATTCTGCGCATAGTCCAGCGGCGAGATCAGATAAGTGGTGCTGCCATTGTATACGCCCATCAGAACGGTATGAAGGAACCCTATGCCGATCGTACTTCGCACGCACGCAAGCACCGGTTTGGAGCTTGTCATTTGACATGTCTCTTTCTGGACCTTGCACATGCCCAAAATGGTATCATGGCCGGGTTGAACAGAGACTCGACGCTGATCTGGAGTCCAATACGTCCAGATGATCACCGGATTCGTCGGAGATATCCAAGAACGATTTATCGTCAACCCGAGTTCTCGGCAGCCATGAGACTGCTTCGCCGGTTTCGCTGTATTATAGACGCTTGGAATATGCGTTTTCAGGTATTGCGCCGATTGTTTGAGGTGCTGTGAGACAATCTTCTGCTTGAACAGATGGTCGACATCTGTATTGCACAAGACGGCCTTGACACCCATATCCGCCACGATGTGAAGGAATGCTGGAGCATCTTCTGAAAGCCTGTTGGCGTCCAGAGGAGCAACAGGAATAGCGATGGCTCCTAAAACCATACACGCGTATATCGCAAAAACATAGTCTTCCGAGTGAGTGTACATCAAGATAAGATGATCGCTGGGCTTCACCTTAACCTTGTTCCGTAGGTACAAGGCGACGGCTGCCACCCTATGGTCAAATTTTTTCCATGTCAGGCCTTTACCTTCTTTTCCTCGCCCATCGATGGTACAGTACGCAAGTTCGTCGGCTTGTCGGGCCACCCGCCATTGCATCAGGTCGAAAATATTTGTGAAGTTACTGAGGGCCGTCGACGTTCTATCATCGATAACGACCTCGCGAGGATCGACGCCCGACCACTGGGTCTCCTGGCCGTACAGGAGTTCGTTTCTTGCGGCACTTGAATTGGCAGACCAGATGCCGCCATTGATGTCCTCCCCCACGGGAAGGTTTTTCACTGCCCGCTCGACACCGAATTTGACGTGGACACAAGGTAGTGCTCCATTGTCGAATTCTTTGCGACAGAGCATATTACCAATCTCTCGCCGCCCGTTCTTGGTTACGCGCGGTAGAATTCCAGGCGCTGTAATCAGGACGCAGTATACTCGCAGGTGATGCTCTTGATACAGTACGTCCATCGTTTTCTCGGCCAAAGAATCGAGCAATGCAATATCAAGCTGCTGTGGTGGGCCACCCGAGGATAATGGAGCCGTTGATGCCGAGGGCGATTCCAAAAGAACAATAGGAAGATGTTCATCGTTCACAAAACAGTCAAAAGCGGAGCAGTCGTGTATCTTTGGGACATTTCTCATGATGCTGAGGATCAGATGCTGGACAAAGAAATAGCGATGTTCCTGCACCGCCAGACCGTGTTCGACCCACTCAACCCGTTGTCGGAGTCGATCCTCATACAGTCCCAAGACGTAGATCTTGCCTTCTATGACACATCCGAGCAAGCCAGTGCGTAGAAACTCGGGGTCGATGGCGGTTGGCGTTGGATTACCTTCCTTAAAGCAGAAGGGTCGAGCATGAAAGATGGTTTCGGTATGCTTTGGCAGAGCCCAAAAGCCTCCCGAGAGAGACGGAGAGTCGACCCAAATCTCACCTATCGAGTTTGGTGCGCAGAGCAGGCCTGACTCGGGATCGACCACCGCAAGAGTGGCGTCAGGAATAGGATATCCAAAGGCTCCGCATCTAACGGCGTTTGGAAAGGAGCTGGCCTTGGTTCTCGCTTCGGCGCCCATAGCTAGCACTACGATGTCGTTCGTTTTCAGAGCTTCTTTTTCCAGCAGGACTTCTCCCAAGTCTTCCGTCGAGCGTTCTTTGGAAGGCTTGGTTCCGCCACCGATGAGGCTGCTGCCAAAGCTGGACTTTGTAATTGCGTTTTGTTCTTCCTTCTTCTCCTCCGCTTCGTGTTCACGGCCCATCTCGTGGTTTAGCGAGCAGCCCATGCGTTCCTCTCCTCCCAGCCAGTCTCTCATGCTGATCACCATTCCACCATGTTCAGGCAAGCAGAGCATGGGTGCCACAATCTCCCTCGCTCGGGGATTGCGGAGCGGCTTGAGCCAACGATCAGCGAGTAGTTCGTGGAACTCGACGTCAACAGTCAAGGTGTCGATCATACATAGCTTCACGCTTGAAAAGTTGGGTTCGAAGTTGCGCTTGAAGTTCCTCGTCGTCATCGGGTCGGCCTGGTAGTTGTACACGGCACGTTTCAATCCGGGATAATCTGCGACGAGCAACGTTGTTTTGTACTTTGTGATGAGGTTCGCATACAGGCCAGGTGTCTCGATGGTTCGTTGGTCAATATAGATCACGGTGTGTCCACCATAAATGTTCAACAAGACACCAAGGATCATCCCAATGCTCTGTCTCGGATCAAGGTAGCTGAGAATTGTTTCGCCATGTCTCGAGCCGGTAATTAAATGACCCTGTTTGTCGCGCAAAGAAGGATTGAAGGTATCGGCTTTGGTATTGCTTGTGGCCGACGTTATCATTGCACTGAGTGTCGCCATTTGGTGCATGATTGTCTTGTGACTCATCACGACGCCGCGGAGGTCGCCTGTAGGTGCCATAGAGAACTCAATATAGGCAAGATCCGGCACTACCAGGGGAGCTTCCTCTCCTTTCTTCTTAGGATGATAGCTGCCGAATTCGTTCGTCTTCCACCATTCCACTCCGCGCGGCCAGTTCAGCTTGGCGGCAGTGATGTCTCGCTGGAAATTCTTCAGGTTGGCTTCCGTAGTCAGAGCAAGGTGTGCTTGTGTGGATGTCAACACAACGTTTAATCTGGCATAGTTTTTGAGATCGTTGATCGGTACAGCCACCACACCAGCGATAAAGCAGCCGAGAAGTGCCACCGCAAACTCGATGATTTCGTTCTCGGTGTAGATCAGCGCGACTCGGTCCCCCTTATAAAGACTGCTTTTGTCGCGAATGACCTGGGCCACCTTTTCCGCCCGGCTACATAACTTCTCCCAAGTGATGGAGACGAGCTCTTTACCCTTTTGATCCAACACCCAGTAGGCCGCCTGTTTAGGATTTGTCTTTGCTCTGTGTCTGAGGACGGCGGCGATGTTCTCGAACCTGGACATCTCGATATGTGAATCGTGAGGGTCACAAATAGCGAACGGCACTTCGCGAGGTTCAAGAGGCATCTGGTGGATAGCCGCACCCCCGGCAAGCTCGCCAGCACCAAGAAATGGCGGCGCTACCTGAGCGGTGGGTGAAGTTACCTCACCCTGAGAATATCTGTGTACATTGCCTCCATAATTCTCTTGATGGTCTTCTCGTTGTTGGCCAGCAAAATCCGAGAAATAGCCCTGCTGCGAGTCCAGCATGGTTGAGTTGCGAGTGTCCATGCCGCCATAGTTCGGCTGGGTATCAGGATTAAAGGCGTAGTTCTGGCTCAGCAGCGTCTCCGTGCGGGACTGATCGTTGGCAGTCAGGAAGGTTTCGCGCCGGCCATCGAACGAGGAACCCGACATCGAACCCTGTTGTAGACTTCCCGTTTCCCTCTCTTGAAAGCGCTGAACCAGACTTTGGGGAGTAATGCTCCTCCTGGGCGCGTTATATTCGTCCCTGAGCACAGAGGCATGCCCGCTCATACTGGGATGGCCCTCGGTCATGGTCCCGTTTCTCGAGAGACTGCCCACCGGTCGACCGGTGAGGGCAGCAAGTGAGGCGGCTCTGGAATCTTCATTAGAGGCAGGATGATCGCTGTCGTCAGGGGAGTGTACGCGAAGTCCTCGTGACTGGGATTGAGTTTGCGATTGTACGCCCGGTGGGGGAGAACTGATGTACTGCGAAAGAATAAGGGTCCGTCTCTTTTCATAGCCTTTGCGGGTGATGTCTCCTTCCTCCAGCTCTTCGTCGAGCTTGCGCAGGGCATCTTCCAATGCAGGGATGCCCGACATATCTGCAACCCTTCATGTATTGGCCGGTCCCTGAGATTTTGGCGCGAAAAGACGAGGAACCAGACGGGGTCTGGAAACAGACCGAGGCGTTGGATGCTGAAGGCAGTGTCGCAGGAACCGTTTGAAAAGAAAAATGACAGACTAAGCGAGCGACAACAGAAGCATGCAAAGGCCGGGGAACCCAGGGATAACAACAATGAGGTTGAGGATTGAGCGCCAGAAGCGCAACGCAGTCTCAGACGATTCCGAAACATGGCCCTCGTAGTGTGTGGTTGGTGGTTGCAGGTGCCGCATGTGGGGATCGAGATTGAGCATCTGGTGGGCATCGAGTCGCACGCTCCAGCTCCAACGATCGAAGATGGTCCCGCCGTTTGCTGGGGCACCATCCCGTCAACTGTGAAGGGCAATTACTACACTACTGTTAACCCCCCCCCCCCCCCTTACATGCCTCTAGATACCTAGGAAGCTAGGTTGGGCGGATAGAGCAATGCTTAGACAGAGTATATACCAACCTAGACCGCTAAACTAGCATAAATCCGTGAAGAAGAAGGGAACGGCTTCCGAACCTGATGTTTCAACTGCTTACATGTTTATTGATATCATTGAAGATGCTTTTGGGATCTATCTTCTAGCGATTCTGCCATAACGCCCTGACAGAGAGAAAGCACCAAACTTCGTATCGTGAACTTGCGTCAACGATGCGCCTCTCACCGCTTCGCGACGCGAAAGAGACTCGAGGTCTCTCAAAACGGTGTTCTTCACTCGTATCTCCCTGGAGTAATTGATATCTTATCACCTCGTGCTGAGCACTTCCCAGAACAACCTTCACCTCGGAACACTGTCCGACACAAGGCAAATTTACCGTTGACTTATCACTTGAACAAGGATCGAAGCATCATCGCATAGAGCCTCGATTCGACCGGATTGTAGATATTAAGGTCGGTTGGTAAGCATTTCATCAGTAACGTATTTGAATCTTCCAACGAAAACGCCGGAAACAAAGAATTTTGGCTCTCGCTCGGGCGCAAACCGAGGAGAATTATTTGCTCGTTTGACATATGAGTGTACTGCCGAGCCAGGGGACATCGGACAACACATAGGGAATACTGGAGTAGTGTATAGTCGAATTGGATCCGAGAAGGCTGTTGAGGAATCGTCTGTCGACCTGGCCAAAACGGCCGTCTCGAGTCGTGACATGCTTCATGGTCAAATCGCTCTCTGGTCAGTCTTCTTGACTCTCGAGGAGTGTGAAAACCGGAGCATTGAGCTTGTCTCGACCGTTGAGGAAGGTGAGTTCAATAATGAAGATATATCCGAGCAGCTGTCCTCCACATTTCTCAACCAGTGTCCCTGCTGCAGCTGCCGAACCACCTGTGGCGATCAGATCGTCAACCACAAGGACTTTCTGGCCAGGTTGAATGGCGGAAGTCTGCATGGCAAAGGTGTCGGTGCCATATTCCTTCTGATACTCTGCTGTTTCGATCTCGCCCGGGAGTTTGCCTGCTTTTCTGACAGGAACAAACCCGGCTCCGAATCGTAAGGCTAATGTCGGTCCGATGAGGAAACCCCTCGCGTCGAGACCGACAATCACATCAGGAATATTGTGTGGACCGAGTGATTCGGCAATCTGCAGCTCGAATGCTCGAATCAAGTCCTCATGGAGAGTATGAGAGGCGAAGAGTGGGAGGATGTCTTCGAAGAGGATGCCTTTCTGCACCAACCCACTTAGCAACAATACTTTCAGAAGCAATGGGGTGATGTGAAGTCCTTTCTTACCTTTGGAAAGTCGGGATACGTCTTGAGGCCCGCCTTGATACGCGTTTTCAATTCCGACAACGTTTGAGAACGGGTGAGTTGGGAGGCTAGTCATGGATTAGCAAGGCTGAAACGAAATATTTCCCCCTTCCGCTACTTTTCACTTTTAGTCGGAGACTTGAGGGACAACATACTGGAGGCGGTGGCATTGGGCTCTGGTCGCGCGGTGCCATGACTGCAATCAGTGTCTGCAGAAAGGGTCATGCTGAGAAGAAAGACAGTCAGAGAGAAGGCGGGATGATAGGATAAATATGGGTACGAGCGAGCGAGGAAAAAAAAAAGATGACAACAAAGAGCCGTGGCACCAGAACGAGGGCGCAGGACGAATCAGTTGCGCATGCAAGGGCCGTCCACCGTTCGAGAGGGATCTGGTGGGAATTCCAGGTGTAGCTGGCGGCGCTATTCCACAGTCGCCTGTGGCCTCCGAGCGTATCCAGCACTAGCAAGTAGGGTAGGGAGCAAGTAGGGAGCAAGCAGACGGGTTCAACAAACAAGCCAGCTTAGTGACAGGCCTGGCTGTCGGTTGCATGTGGTGTTATGTTACAAAGAGCAGTCAGCCTGCGCGGCCGGAACTGACGTGATTGCAGCCGACAAACCCTCGCTTTGGCTTGCTTAGGCCCAGCAGCTCCAGCAGGTGTAGGGCCCAGTAACAGGCCGTTAAGCCAGGCGACTTTTTTTTGTTTTCTGTCTCTCCTTCTCTTCTGCACAGCGGTGTGTCCACAAGCGATCCACTCGGGATCCCTCACCAAGGTTCAACCAACAGAGGCGAGCTTGACTAAACACGGCCGTGGCATGTGTACTGCCGTGATTTGCAGGTGCTGCTAGGTACCCGATCCGAGAGAAAGGAGAATGGGGATAGGTTCTCAGGGTCCTCCATTCCAGGCTTGGAGTATCCCGATCGAGGACGCTAGAACCCGTGGGTGAGAGGGAGTGGGATGGTCTGGAAGATAACGTTTGAGGGATAATCCACGATAACCCTACTGGAGTCGGAGTAGGCAGGCGGGCGATGGGGAGGCTGATAACTCGACGTGTCCTAGGAGGGGCTGAGGAAGCGTGGGCTGTTCGAGTCTCTTTTGGAAGCAAACCCTACAGTATGGTGGGGTGGATGTTGAGCTCTCAAAGGGGGAAGAGGGGAAGAGGAAGGCCTCATCATCCTCCCGTCACCACCATCCTCTAGAAATCTTAACCTGCAATAATGAAAGAAAAAAGGACCCCGGTTCCGCCATGGCATGCCACGCCGGTGACATGGGACAGCCCTGTAGATTCATTCCTATCAATCTATCACTCTACCCACCTTCTCGCAGGCTCTCTTCGAACCTTTCTTTACCCGGCATCCCGTCTGCGACAGTGGGGACTTCCGAGCCTCTTGTGGCGTTGGCTTGTGCTGCATTTGTCCATATTGTGTACCCAGAGAACCCTTTGCTGAAAGTCTAGCAGCAAAGAGCGGAAATGCAAGAGATCCTGTCATTGCTTCTCTGTCTTGGATTCGTGGGCCGTCTCCGCCAGTCAACCCGTAGTCTCAATGTGCTCAGACGGAGCAACGATACGAACGGGCGAAGCGCAATAGCCGTGAGCCATTTCCCCTCCATCATTGATCTTTCCCCCATGTGTCTTTGAGCAGGGGAGTCGGCGAATCTTTTCGATCACCTCAGCTGGACCCGCCTGGACGCATCGAGTGTGGCTCTTGCGGCTCGCCAGTGTCAAAAGAGGCTGGGCTTCTCCAACTCGGCCTCTTCAGAGAGATGTGTTCTAGACGTCGTGAAGATCCAGCCTTAGCGATCATTCATGGTGAAATTCGTGATCTGCAGTCTGTGTAGGCGACACTCGCAAGGCTAAATTCTAGATGTCCTCAGCGCGACCGTGCCGGCCCGATTTTCAAGCAAACTGCATCCACAATGCCACCGGGTCAATGTGACTTCTCGATGCGTTCAAAGAAGCGGTGACAATGGCAGTCTTGGTGAACAGGGATGCCATCATGAAGCTACTGCAAGCCACCTTTCCAGAACTCCAAACCCTGGATCCCTGGATCCCGTTACACGACAGACAGTCCTTCAGACTTCCGGAGGCAACCGTGCATGTCCACGTACTCGTGGGCTGAATAATACTTGTATATATATGGGACTGACTGCCGACTCCATCAGGGCTTGACTTTCGCCATGTTTCAGGTTAATGTGGACTGATACATCAGACGTATTTGATGTCTCCATAGCGATGGTGTATGTACTCGTATAGGCTCACGAAAATCGATAGGAATCCGTGGGAATATTCGGAGCCCGAGTCCGCGCAATGTACTGGGTACAACTGCCAAATGGACGGCTGTTTGCACCAGGAGAAACATGTCAAATAGGGCTCTGACTGGACAGCAACAGCTGTCATTTCTGCTCGTCTTGCATCATCTTTCCGCTTCCCAGGCCTTACACCCCAACACAAACTTGCGGTGGGAAAGGGACAGATGTCCTCGAACTCTGCTAAAGGTTTCTCCAAGGCTTTGTAGCAAGCATAGACTCACATGTGAATGGAGATTTGGATTTGAGACTTGCTCACCTCTAAAGTCAGGCCCGCCCCGTATGGACCCAACGATCTTGTCATCATTACGAGGGCGTTGAACGACCGACGGCCCTCGGTATCTCTAATGCTCCCAGATCATAAAATACAATAGGATATGGACGGAAACCGCAAACCGTCTCTCTGGTCGACTAGGTCCTTGCGGCCAGTACAACGTAGGTTTCTCTGCTGCTATACATGGGATGTGCCTCAAAACATCTCGTATGCACTGAAGGCAGTTGACCGGGCATGCATTTTTATGTATCGATTCGAACCCTCTGAAAACACCGGTAGAATATGTAGAGTGGATGGACGAGCTGATTTAGGTAGTTGGTGGTTTGTCAGGGAAATGGTGAGGCTGGTGGCTGGTGCTGGTTTCCTTCACCGCCTTGGGAGATTCTGCCAGTCATTCACCAAAAAAAAAGTTGCAGTCAAAACTTCGCCGTGCAGGTCATTTCGTCGACCGCAGCCACAGTCTCCAAACCTACCCTACAATGACCCGTGCTATAGACGAGGACGAATTCGTCCTCACAATCTCTGATAACGAGGAGCTGCCTGCTAGTGAGCCTGATACAGATGACTCGGATGCGGTAGAGCCCCGCACGAGTACCAAGCGGAAACGGGAGGAAAAGAACCATACCCGCAAGAACAAGAAGCAGAAGGTCAAAGGGGGAGTTCAAGACGATGATCACAATGTGTCAAGCGACAATCCGGAAAGCGACGAAGAAACAGGTGTCCAAGATGGTGCCCTCGACCCCGATTTCGAGTTTGATATCGGAGCGAATCATGTGCAGGACCTCGAAGAATTCGACGGATGGGGCGAGGATAACATAACCACAAAAGAACGAGAGCAAAAGAAGAAAGGTGTCGATATTGACGCCATCATTGCTCGTCGCGCACAGAAGAAGACAACATCCATCGCGTCTAAGAAAGTAAAAGAGACTCCAGAAGAGCCAGATGAGGAACAAGGGAGTGACAAGGACGACGTCGATATCCCGGATTTTGAAGACGATGAACTTCTTGCTCCAGATACTTTCGGTGCAGATGCTCAATCTGAAGACGAGGAAGTGGATGAAGAAGAGGAGGAGGAGGATGGCGACAGTGCTTCCGATAGCGACTCCGTGGCGTCTCCCATTGCCCACCCCGACGATGATTTGGCCTCTGATCAGTCCGATGCTGAGTCGCAGACGTCTGTCTCGGACGACCCTGACGAAAAGGCCAAACGCGCTGCGTTCTTTGCTCCCGAGAACAAGCACCCCGATATCAAGTCCGCATCCTCGTTCCAGCAGTTCTCCCTATCAAGGCCTATCCTTCGGGGCTTAGCCGCGCTCTCATTCACCACCCCAACACCCATCCAAGTCCGAGCCATTCCTGTTGCCCTTCAAGGTTTGGATGTCGTTGGGTCTGCCGTGACGGGCTCGGGCAAGACTGCAGCTTTCCTCCTCCCTATCCTTGAGCGCTTACTGTACCGGCCTAGAAAAGTGCCTACAACACGAGTCGCCATCCTCATGCCAACCCGCGAACTTGCAGTCCAATGCTACAGTGTCGCCACCGCTCTAGCTCGCTTCACAGACATCACCTTCGCCCAAGTCGTAGGTGGCTTCTCCCTGCGCGAACAAGAAACGATTCTGAAAAAGCGGCCCGACGTCGTCATCGCCACGCCAGGTAGATTTATCGACCACATGCGCAACTCGGCGAGCTTCAACGTCGAGAGCATCGAAATCCTCGTGCTGGACGAAGCCGATCGGATGCTCGAAACCGGATTTGAGGACGAGCTGAACGAGATTCTACGGACCATCCCCAAAGGAAGGCAGACGATGCTTTTCTCCGCTACCATGACCGACAGTGTGGACAAGCTAGTAAGAGTCGGTATGAATCGCCCCATCCGTTTGTCTGTAGACGCAAAGAAGTCCACGACAGCAGGGCTCGTCCAAGAATTCGTCCGCTTGCGCCAAGGACGAGAGGGTTTACGCCTTGCTACCCTGTGCGTGCTGTGCCAGAACTTCTTCACCGAGCGCACCATAGTCTTCTTTCGTCAAAAGAAAGAAGCCCATCGTGTGCGAGTCGTCTTTGGTTTACTGGGCCTAAAGGCTGGCGAACTACATGGAAGCATGACGCAAGAACAACGCATCAGCGCAGTCAATGCGTTCCGAGACGGCAAGACAACACACCTCCTCGCCACGGATCTCGCTAGTCGAGGTCTGGACATCAAAAACGTCATGACTGTTATCAACTACGAAGCACCACAGACTCATGAGATCTATCTACATCGCGTGGGTCGTACGGCAAGAGCAGGCCGCTCGGGGTGTGCTTGTACAATCGCCGCAGAACCTGATCGGAAGGTCGTCAAGGCTGCGGTGAAGAGCGCCCGACAACAAGGCGCGAAAGTTGTGTCCCGTGTCATGGATATTCAAGAGGTCGACGCTATGCATCAGCGACTCGACGACCTAGACTCGGAGATCGAAGAGATACTAAAAGAAGAGAAAGAGCAAAAACAAATTGCCGCTACCGAAGCCGAGATTAAGCGTGGAGAGAACCTCATCAAGCACGAGTCCGAAATCATGGCTCGGCCAAAGCGGACCTGGTTCGAAACTGAGAAAGAGAAGCGCGATGCCAAGAACAAGGGGCGGATGGAATTGAACGGCCCAGACGGGGTGGGAGTCGTGAAAGTGCGGACAGAGAAGAAAAGGTTGAGCAATAAAGACAAAAAGCGCCTCGACGATGCGCGTGAGAGAAAAGAGGGAAAGATGTGGAGGAAGGGAAAGGGCAGCGAGGAGGCGGTGAAGCGGATGATCAAGGACAAGGGGAAGAAGAATAAGAATGGTGGAAAGGCGAAGGGGAGGAAGAGGTAAAGATTGTCGGGTGTATATATTCCTCTTGGTCGGTCTACGCCTATGGAGATATGTTCCTTTGGTCAACTCATTTGATGCCAGCTGGTTTCAACTTGCCCTGCTTGATCAGGTCGTCTACTTTCGGGGGCAAGACGAGTCCGGTGCGATCATTCCTCCTGTAAAAGTCCGCCACGATCTGAGCGGTTTTGGTCGGTTGGTCTTCTTGTATGAAATGACCAGCCTCCGGAAAGACTTGAAGTTGGTATTTCCCTATGCACATTCAGCTGAAGAAGAAAATGCATTGACTCCAGTATGGCCTACCTTGCATCTGCCCGATCATAAGCTCCTTATCAAGACGGTCCGTCCCTGCCAGGAGGAGCAACTTGCCACCCCGAGACTCCAGAAACTTCTTCGACAAGCCGACAAACCAGTCTTCCCAGAATGGTTTGGTGGCAGCCAAATCGGTGCGCCAGAACCATGTGTCTTTGGTTGTTTTGGATTCATGTAGCAGTGATGGAACAGAGACTCGCGCCGAAGTGGTGTTTCGGATCGTCCTAGATTTCGTGTGCCACTCAATGCCCGAAGCGAGAGAAGGAAAGGATTTGGGTCTCGTGGAGAGGTAGGTATCCATGCTCTTGAGAGCGTCCATGGCTGAACCCTCGACCACATCGAGCACGCCGTATGCTAATAATGCGTTGCCGAGAAGTCTCTCGTAGGCCACTTCGGTCACAACAGCACCTCCTAGACTGTGTCCGATCAAGACGATATCTGGCAAGGTTGACCACTTCATATATGCTTTGACAGCATTGACGACGAAGGCCACATCCTCCGCTAAAGTGGTCAGGCTGAGGTCTTGAGACGGTGGTGAGCCACCAGATGAAGTCGTCGTGGTGGTCTGCCCATGTCCTCGTGCGTCTAGTGAGAGAACACCAGCACTGGGGAGGATCTTTAGCAACTCTATAGTGAAGACAGCAAATGACAAGCCTGACGAGCCCGCCCCATGATGCGTGACGATGAGCGGACCCGAAGCGGTGGGAGGGGTTAGATAGACGTGGTGGTGGATTGTCTCGGATGGTGTTTTCTGGTCGAAAGCGAGGTCTTGGGCAAAGAAATCATCCCATGGAAGAGGTGCGGTACGGGATTTCTGGACGGAACTATCACGTATGTGAGCCGCCGTCTTAGTCTGGACAGAGTTGTGTCCCTCATGTTACCTTCTGGGCTTCTCGAATAGGTTCCGGCTGGGCGACGGGACGATAGTGCCTGTAGACGACGTTGAAGAGGCCGAGGAAGAAGAATCATTCGGAGACCCTGGTCTCAAAGCGGTCAAATCGTCGTCTTCTTCATCTTGCTCGTCTGCAACGGCCGGGGGCTCTGGAGGGAGATGAGACAAGCGTGCTCGTGCAAAAGATTTCTGCAGATCACTCATAACGAAATGTCGATAATCGAGACAAGGCTGTCAATTGGGTTCAAGGGTTCGAGAGGACATCGATGAATAAGGTGTGGCTCATGCGAGTGGTTCTGACTAAACGGTGGGATGGCGAGTGAGCAGAGGGTGTGTGGCGGTGTCTTGTGATCTGCTGTGGAGGATGAGCGGGAATGAGTGCTGTTGGCCGGGCGCAGTTGCGGGAGAAACTTAAGACAGTAGCAGAGCAGCGTAGAACGATAAAGACAGGGCCATGCCGGTCAATTTGTTTCCTAGAGCGCAGCCGTTGACGCATGTGCTGCTCTGATGCACCTCAGTCTCCTTCCAGCCTACCCGCTGTCATCCCGTCGACATCAATTCTTCGCATTGTAGCTCTGGTATCAAGAGGACGGGGGGTCCAGCAACCAAATATGACGAATCACTTGCGGCAACAATTGGCCCAGAAGCGAAAGATCAAGCCGCCGATCATCCATCCACCTTAGGACCCATTGCTGTGTACGAGGTACCGAATCCCGTAATGGGGTTTTGGATGCTTTTCCATGACGTCGTGAGAATCGCTTTTTGCAGGTGACACCACCACATACACTGGCTCTCAAGCTTCAAGCCCAGCTGTTTTATTTTGTTTTTTCTCACTAATGTTCTTTTCCTCATCGTTCGATCCTAATACCTCTTTCTTCCACCGCCTTCATTCACCTCAGAGATTCGATGGAAACCTGCCTGATCACATCTAACAAATATTCACGTCTTGTGATCCTTACCTAGAGCCTTGCCAATTCCGACCCTCCGTATACCTTGAACTGGTCTAGATTGGTCACCATGGTTTCTCTGTGGGGGAATAGCAAGAAGGATAATGACCACGCACCTCAAGAGGAGGAAGAAGACAGCGCCGCAGCCACCACATCCCATCATCATCCCAGCGGCCCCTCAGAAGAAGCCAATGAAAGAACACGGCTATTGCCTCGCCGTGATCGAGGTCCCGGCTTTCTCAGTCCTGATGATCCTGCTGTAGGTCTTCACAAACGACCCGACACATCAGCAAGCTAATCGTCCTCCTAGGTAACACCTTACAACCTCTTCTCGGTCAGAGCTCTACGATGGCTCGAAGTTTTCTTCTTGATGATCACCTGTCTATGGTGGACCTTACTTTTCATCTCCATCTTTGTCAGCCCGCCGCGTTTCAATTCGAGAGGCTCGGGCTTCTTCGACGTCGCCTGGACCACCCTCACTATCGGCAATATCCTGACGGCTCTCCTCTTCTTTGCCACTCCATCGACTGCTATGAGCGTTTTGAGCATGGCAATCTCTGTCATTCTGCTGATAGACATGATCATTATCCTCGCAGTACCTCGCATCAGGCTGGAAGAAGGCTGGATCGGAGTCGCTTCGGTAATCTGGGCAGCCTTAATTGGCCTATACAATGTTGTCACAAATAGGACGGTCCAATGGGGAAAGGCAGAAGAAGAAGTGCGTCTTACAGGTCGTCAAGAGACCCGTCGTTCTCTTCGAGAATGGTGTGCTGTACTGACTGCCACCGTCCTTATGGCCCTGTACGTGGTTATTGTTGTCTTGCTTACGGCTGTCCTGGTATTGCGCTCGAGGGACGCTACACTAGTGCCTCCTGGCAAGCGGTACTTGGTGGATGGTGACAAATACGCCGTCCATCTCGCTTGCGTTGGCAACCAGACCTTTGACGCAGATGGCAACGCGAAACCTACCGTCTTACTTGAGGGAGGATATATGCCTGTGGAAGACAGCTTCGAAGGATGGGTTTACGATGCATGGACGAACGGTACCATTGACCGATACTGCTACTGGGATCGACCTGGGATTGCATGGTCTGACAACGCGCCGTCTCCACACTCGGCTGGCATGTCTGCAGATGCAATTTCTGAAGCGCTGGCCATTGCAGGTGAGGAAGGCCCATGGATCTTGGTATCTGCTGGCATCGGTAGTGTCTACAGCAGAGTCTTCTCTGCTAGACATCCGCGTGATATCAGGGGGATGATGTTCATCGATGGTCTTCATGAAGACCTTCTTTATAAAGTCGGCGCACCTGGTCGTGGGTTTATCCTGTGGGGACGTGGAATCATTTCTCCGCTCGGACTCGATCGCTTGGCCGGGGCTTTGTTCAAGGGCCGTACTAAAGAGGATCGTGTGTATGGCAAGTCCTCCTACCAGGGTGGCAAGTTTATCAAGAACAAGCTGCAAGAAAACCTGGTTGCGGACTCGTTGACCAAGAACGAGGTTGTCAGCGCTCGCAATATCCAGGATCGTGGCGTTCCTCTTGTCGTCGTCACTTCTGGGGTTCACCTGAAAAGGGATACGGATTGGGAACGAAAGCAAGAGGATTTGACAAAAGTGACAGACAAGTTGGTAGCATGGGAGATTGTGAAAGGTGCACCGTCAGAAGAAGTTTGGAGAGCAGACGAAGGACGAAAGATTCTGGAAAAGCGGCTGGGAGAATTGTACAAGGATGCATAATGAGTGTGGGGATTCTTCCATTTGGCGTGGACGATGCTTCGAGCTTGGGCATGTTGATACTAGCAGCGTTACCGGTATGTCAGGGAGCACATGTATGATGGAGTTTGATTGAATTACTAGCATACGATATCCTCTGGATTGTCTCGATGAGCACGGGTCTGTACATGTCCTTCTAATGAATGTTGACGTATCAAAGCGCGAGAAAATGTCTGTTTTGATCATTGTAATTGGCAATAGAAACGAAAATGGCAGAAACCGAAGGAATTATTACTTTGGACGTACTATACCAAGTAGATTCGTAATGCAGCCTTGCGAGTATTTGACCAGTGTTGGGAGTGGTATTGCGCCACTACAGCCACCACAGCCACAGCCCCTGCATGACGTAAGATTTGGAGCCTGGCCACAAAGCGTTTTCGGAGAAGTTGTCACTGGTTGTCCGTGATCATCTCGCATGAGGACTGAGCCAACCATCAACTTCACCATCGAGAGCCTCGCTACCATCAGGTATACGAATTCTTCGAGGCTACTTCGACCTTTTGCGTTTGTTTTCTTTGTTGTCCTTTATTTCACCTCACCTCATACTTGTCCTCACTCACGCTGGGGTTGTTCTCTGTCCCTCATTTATCTCCCACGGGACTTTGATCATCTGCTCTCTGCCCTACATCCGCTAGACTTGACTCGCCCTCCCTCTGTCCTCGCGCGGACGCCCCGCACCCTTCAACCATGTTGCTACGATTCGAGTCGAAATGGGGCCAGTTCCGACTGAACGTCGAGCCTACCGAACATTTCTCATCCCTGACTTCCCAGGTAACTCCAATCCCGTGTGCCTGAGGGAAACCTTGAATTCGCTAATATGATGGGCGTTTCCAGATCCTTGACCACCTTCCCCCGAATACCGACGCCTCTTCAATAGTCCTTAGCAACAAGCCCGTCAGCTCGAAACCGGACCCAAGTCGAGAGCGACGTCTCGTCGACCTCCCCGGGGTAGAACTGCGCCAGGTTGGACTCAAACATGGAGATAAGTTGTATATTGGGTTTTCTGAACATGACACCATACCCAACGGTCACACCAACGGTGATGTCGCATCTGCCCCTCGACGCTTGAACGGCACCATCGCATTACCAGAGCCTGCCGCTCCTGTAACCGCTCCGACAATTACCTCTCCGACACTTGTTAAAAATCCATGGGAAGTTGTGCAACAATCTGCCTTGGACGACAGGTTAGACAAGCTGGATGGAAAGATTTCAAGACCCAGAGACCTTAAGATGTGTCGACATGGGCCCAAAGGCATGTGTGATTATTGCCAGCCTCTAGAACCCTACGACAAGAAATACCTCGACGAGAAGAAAATAAAGCATCTATCGTTCCACAGCTATCTGCGCAAAATCAACTCCGCCACGAACAAGCCCGAATTGAAGAGCTCGTACATGCCCCCGCTTTCTGAACCTTACTATCGAGTGAAGAAGGACTGCCCGTCTGGCCATCCTCCCTGGCCCGAAGGAATATGTACGAAATGTCAACCGAGCGCTATCACATTACAGCCACAAGAATTTCGAATGGTGGACCATGTTGAATTTTCCTCGGCAGATATGGTGGACAAACTGATCGATTTCTGGAGAAAATCAGGCGCTCAACGGCTGGGATTTTTGTATGGTCGATACGAAGAATACACAGAAGTCCCCTTGGGTGTGAAGGCTGTGGTTGAAGCCATCTACGAACCACCTCAAATGTGCGAAGTTGACGGGCTCACACTGCTCGAATGGCCGAATGAAAAGGATGTCGATGACGTTGCCCGCCTTTGTGGACTCGAACGGGTGGGAGTCATTTTCACCGATCTACTGGCCCCTGAAGAAGGAGAGGGTCAAGCTGTTTGCAAGCGACACATCGACTCGTATTTTCTTTCATCTCTGGAGATTGCCTTTGCGGCTCGGCTCCAATCTCAATATCCAAAGCCTTCGAAATGGAGCGAGACGGGCCGGTTCGGTTCAAATTTCGTAACATGCGTTGTCACCGGAGACGAGGACGAAAGTATCACGATCCGAGCTTACCAGGCATCAAATGCCGCTGTCGAGATGGTTCGCGCAGACATTGTGGAACCTTCGGCAGATCCCTCGGTGATGTTGGTCCAGTCCGAAGACGATCAAAGCCCGAACGGGAGAACTCGATACATACCTGAAGTTTTCTACCGTCGTTTCAATGAGTATGGTGCAAATGTGCAAGAGAATGCTAAGCCCAGCTTCCCCGTGGAATATTTGTTGGTGTCCTTGACAGCGGGAATGCCCATCAAGCCGAACCCTCTGTTCAAGAACGGCAAGTTTCCAGTTGAGAATCGGGAAGCTGTGGCCGAGGGCCAGGATCCTGCGGACGTGGCTAAACAACTGCGCTCGTCACAATCGATCGACGCAGTTTCCGACTTCCACCTCTTGTGCTTTTTGCACGGTATGGGTGTATTCAGCAAGGTAAGTTGACTCTCTTGGAGATGAGACATGTATTTGACCGTCATTATAGGAAGAAGAACAGATTCTATGCCGAGTGGCAACCACGCATGACCAGGTGGACGCGATCCATTTGACGGAATCACCAGGATGGGGGACCTTGTTGGCGATACTCGAAACATATGGTGAGCGGCCCTTGAAGCGTCCGTGGCGTTTGCAGACAGAGGATGAATCTTTCGACCCTGGCAGCCCGTCAGAAAGTCTGGCTAAGCGATTCAAACAGGCGGCTAGTCTTGACCACTGAGGACCGGAATTGAGATCCCGAGGCCGACGAAAACATCAGAGTCCGATTATGTCACAATTCCAGCAGCATTAGCAGTTTTTTGCATAGCAGAAGGCGGGGCGGCGTGTCCAGGTATCAGTCTCTGACGCTTACGGTGGGAGCTGCATGGGATGGTGGTTGGATTTGTACAACTAAACCGATATGCCCGATAGCTAGTGGACGATGTGAATGACAAAAAGAGTACGGGTACCGGTGGAGAAACATGTCAATCTGAAAGAAGCCACTACCAAAGGAGATGATGCCCGTTTGGATCAACATGCAGAATTCAAGGGTACGCGCGGATGGGCCACCAGGGCTAGAGGGTGATGGGCCCCTGTGTGCTGATCGACAGAGGTCGAGTTAATAATGATCGACACAGGCAAGGCCCGGACGAGGTGAACAGACACATTTCCCGGGAGCATTTCTCCAGTGGGAGCAGCGTGCTAGGCTTGTATTCCCTGGATATCATAAGTCAGCTGCGCCCATCAATTGAATGCTCTGAGGGGGAGTTGTCGTGAATGAGTATCCACCGTCGATGAGTCTTTTTTTTAACCTCGTGCCTCGTAACCGCCAGTGACGTGTACTTGTTGAAATGATGGAGGGATGACGAAGTGATGATGGCCAAGAGTAAAACAGTGATCATCTGCCTTGTTCTGCTTTGCTGGAGAGAGGGAATTGTGGTACGACAAATGGTGGGCGGTTTCTAGAAGGCTGATGGAAGCCTGACACGGTCAATGAAAGAGGGGTGCCTGGATGAGGGAGGCAGGGAGGTCATGACTGCGCAATGGTTCCCAGCCACACCAGCTGAAGAATGAGAAAGACGGTCAAGGCAGCTAAGAAAAGGTAAGCTCAATGGTGGGGATGATGAGAAGAAACTGGATACCTTCTGTGCATACCAGGTAAGTAGGCTGACATAGCTGGCAGCATATTTGTATGGTCAATTATGGTATAGGCACCCAAGTAGGCACCTTAGGACGTCCCGGAGGCACCCACGATAGACGGGAGGAGCACAGGTCACTTGCCCCTAAGGATGGATGGCACCCAGATGGGATGGGATGGGATGGGATGGGATGGGACGATGAGCAAGGGAGGGAAACAAGTCGTAGTGGACCTTGGAGGAGGGTGAGCATTGGTGACTGGCGCACTTGGTCACTGGAGGACCCCTAACTCTACTTAGAAGGGCCTGCCGTTTTGTCTATCGCCCGCTAACCTATTGGCCCTCAACTGCACCCCCCAGCATGCCCACCTCAGGCCCTAATTGGCTCTCGTGGGCATGCATTGGCCTGCTCCGCACTTCGATTGCACCTTCGCTCGCGCTTCTCTTCGGCTTCCCTTGCGCTTCCTTTTTCCTTCCATAGCAGATCCACCCCCATTGTCAGACCCAATTGCGTCTTGTGCTTTGTGCCACCAGGCCAACTAATCCTTGGGGAGGGTTCGCCCTAAGCCTGTGAGGGCTCGGCCTCTCGATTTCGCTCTCTGTCGCCCCCAGCGAAGCCAACTCGCAAGTGTCTACCACTACTACTACACTTATCCACTGCTGCTACCACTTGCCCTGACCTCCTGCGACCAGAACCAAGCTCGAATCCCTCCCTCTCCCATTTGCCTGCACAAACCCTCACTGCTTCTAGTCCTCTGTTCCTCAATTCTTCGATCGGATCTCCGCCAGGTCAACTTTCACCATCTCATCGGAGAGCTGTCTGTGTTTCGCCTGTCTGCAGCTTCAGTCACTTTCCCCGGCGGCGTCTGCGACTACCCGAAGACTCGAAAAACTTGACAGCTGCGACCTGCCACCCACTCGCAGCTTGCCTTACCATCCTCCCATCCACACTCCCCGATTCTCGACGGCATCGAATCAGCGCAGCCTGAGTGTGTATGACTCGTCTCATATCGGCCCTGGTAACCTCGTCGAGCTCCTGAGCCAAAGTTTGTCTCTTTCCGCCTGACCGCAAGTGAGGAGAGTACTTTTACTCTCCCACTCATTCGAGGACCACCCGTCTTCTCGCGCGCAATGGGCCTACAATAAGCGTACATCGTCCTCGAGTTGTTTGTCAGATTTATTGTAAATTTGTCTGGAGTTTCATAACGTCACCGGAGGAGGAAAGGGCAAAATCGAGGTCTCACAAATCGTCCCGACGGCCGTTTGATCGCATTATGGGCCCGTAAACCCTCTTGAAGCGACGGTCTCTTCTCCTTGCCACTCAAGCCATCGCTGACGCCATGGACCCTTCCGCCTGTCGAGTCATATACATTGACGAAAGATTCAACACCGAAAGATGGATTTCTCGGGAGGGGCTGTCTCCTAGCACGCCCGCAAGAGCAGATTCGCAGGTGGAATTCTCGGACCTGCCCCTCGACTTGCAGACCAACGTCAATGCCTTTTTGACTGTATTCAACCAAGGTAAGTAGAGCTGCCTTTTTTGAGCTCCGACCGGGACTGACGCCGAGATATCAAGTGTACGTATGCAGTTCTGGTAGGGCATTTTCCACAAAACTCTCCGAACTTCACGACCAGGTCAAGCTCGATTGTACTCCGATACTTGCCTGCTTTGACGTCGGCTCCGAGTCAAAGCGTGAGCATACCAAAGCGAAACCCAGATTCTTTCCCTCCTCCGATTCTCCATTACCATCCCCAAGCTTGCTCAGGAAGGAAATCACCTTCTCCTCTGAGTCCGACGAGTCATACGGCCTTCAACTGCTGTCCCGCATAGCATCCGATCTCCAAGTTGATGAGGGTGTCAAGCTGATAATACCGGTGGCGATTGTGCAACCCAAACGGAATGACTCCCACGATCAGGCTCTGGAGACAGAGCCTCAACCCGAGGTCTCTCGGGCACCATTTGGCCCTGAGTCCAAACCCGTTGCGATCGAAGACAAGTCGGATATCATCGACGCGCAGTTAATGTTACAGTGCCTGGATGCTGGAGCGCTCGATGTTGTGAAGAGTCCATTGGACAAAGCCGGGATCATGGGTCTGACGGTCCACGCCTACCGCATATACAAGAACGCAAAAAAGGAGCAAGCAGGTTTCATGGCCATGGCTCGGAGGAATCGCAAGCAATCATGGGTCGGTATGGAAGAAGAGAAACCCTATGCTTATCTTCGCGAAGCCATGGTGAAAAAGTTACTCAAGGGGATTTGCGAGCCGCAAAATATCATCGAGGATTACCAGCATCGTGACTTGTATGTGCAGGAGTCCCGGAAAGAGGCCGTCGCCCAAGCTGTCGGCCGGTGGGACTTTTCTGGCCATGACTTTACAGAGGATGAACTCGTCTACGCTGGCTATTTTATGCTGAATCATTGTCTTCAGATGGAGGAGTGTGAGCAGTGGAGCATGAATCAACGTGAGTTCCATCGTCGACTGATATCGTTGCACCTCGCTGACCCATGAAACAGGCGACCTACTTCACTTTATGCAAGGGTGCCGTGTAGCATACAATTCGTTTGTCCTTTATCACAACTTCAGGCACGCTGTCGATGTCTTGCAATCAGTTTTCTACTTCCTCCTCCAAATAGGCACTCTACCACCTTATCCTGCAGGTGCCGAGCCATCACCTTTTGCAGACAAGAAGTCACCAATAGCACGACTTTTAGGGCCCTTCGAAGCACTCACCCTTTTGGTCTCGGCCATTGGTCACGATGTTGGCCATCCTGGCGTCAACAACATGTTTCTGGTCAAGTTGAATGCGCCTCTTGCGCAATTGTACAACGATCAGTCGGTTCTCGAGGCCTTTCACTGTGCGGCTTACTCTCAAATTCTCCGGCGACATTGGAACACTGCATTCCAGGATAAGGCTCTTCGGAGACTGATGATCAGCACCATTCTCGCCACAGATATGGGGATCCATTCCGACTACATGCAACAACTGGGCAATTTGCAAGAGAAAATCCACGAAAGCGGAGCGACTGATGGATGGTCACCAAAGGACATCGACTGGGCGCGGACTTTGGCTTGTGGGCTGTTAATTAAATGCGCTGACATCAGCAATGTGGTATGTTCACATCATCTCATGTCTGATCCATTCCTCCTACTGACGGTGCCAGGCTCGACCATGGTTGGTGGCCGAAAAATGGACCCATCTACTTCAGAAGGAGTTTGCGCATCAAGGAGAGATGGAGCAAGCCGTTGGAATGGAGACGACACTCTTTGGCGGCCCTCCTGAATTGGGAAATATGCTGAAGCTTGCTAATGGCCAGATCGGCTTCATGACCATCTTTGCACATCCGCTTTTCGCCAACGTTGCTGACATAATTCCTGCCATGCGGTTCGCTGCCGACGAGATCCTGACCAACAAAGGAGTTTGGTTTACAAGAGCCGAGCATGAAAAGAAACTCCAGCTTGTCATGAAGGGAACTGGGCCTGGTGATGGAGGTTCAATAAGTCCCAGGACCCAAAGTCCTGTCGGCCGACTGCAGGACCATGGAAAAGAGAAACATCTGCCGGTGTCTCCACTCCGAGACCGTAATCATTCGCCAGAGAAGCCGCGCTCGGAATCTGGACGTGGCCGACAGGGTAGTAACACTACACCACAAGACAGTACTCATCGGTTGTCATTAGCAGATGCTGCAGGGATAGCCGTCTCAACCACCCGTGACCGATCTGCCTCGAAATCTAAACAGAATTTGAATGCGGCTGATCAGGAATGGGCCAGCTCAGCCCTTGTCAACGGTGAACATATCCCGGCGCAACTTACGCCGGATACCACTCACAGAGAAGAGAGGAATGGCACCACTTCCAGCAATACTCCGCGGCTAGCCTCATTATCAAATGACACCACAGAACCTATACAACCCTTCAACGATCCAAGAAGGGATAATGCGGTATCAATGCGCGCAGGAACAGAGGCTATCCCCCAGGAAGCTATGGAGGGAAATAACGCCTCAGAAGCAGAAAATATGCAAAAATTCAATTTTGCGACCTCGAAAAAGGACGAGCCAGTACGAACCTACGATCCCCAACGTCAATACAATCCTTCACATCCCGGCCTTCGTGCCAGCGCCCCAGCAAGCGACGTCGAATCGAAGCAGCCTAAAATTGAATCGATCAACATGTCACCGGCCGCCAGGTCGCCTCAAAGCGACAACACCACGAGCGGCATCCTAAGAGGTGGTGGCGGTGGTGAGGGGCACATCTTGACCCCTAGCGGAAGCACTGAAGCTACAAGCTATACTTCAGACAAAAGCGAAGAACTGACGAGGCTTCGAAACAGTCTCCAAGCCATACGCAACCGGGCAGTAAGTGCACCGATGCACTCAGGAAGTCCGGTACTGAGACCCAGTTTTAGCATGGGCAGTAACAGCGCAACCAGCAGAGAGAGCAGCAAATATGACATTCATACGACCATCTTGAGTAATGGAGACGTGGAAGATGCAAGCGCCAAAGACAGGAAAACCAGTACCAAGACTATGGGCAGGAGAAGGAGCAGACTAAAACTGGGGCTCGCATTCTGGAAGAGAAACCGAAGCGAGAAGAGCATCGAGGGCGAGATGTTCAGACCGGATAGTCAGGGAAGTGGAGGCAGAGGATGAAAGCAGTCAAGAGTTGGGAGAGGTTTGATTTACAGCGTTGCGAGTGGCATTTAGTCTGGATCTTGTGAGTTGATTGGGAGGTTTTGTCTGTCAAAACGCGGGTCTTATGGGAGGTTACGGGAGTTTGGGGGGTCCAAGGAGTTTCGAGCTCTTTTCTGCTTGGGGGGGCTATTTTGGGTGCCACAGATTTGAACTTGATTCACGAACGGGATGGACGATTCTGAGCATGAAGGGGGGAATGCGCATGGTCGCTTCTTATGATGTAACTCATGGGAGGAGAACAAAGGGTTGTGACAGGCATGAAGAAAACGGGGTATGAAAAAGGTCCCCAGTGGAAAAGGGGAGGCCAGCGGCGACGCTGAGTCTGGGACCGAGCTTGGACGATCTGAAACCGACAATGCCATTGATACCTATGGTACGGGTATAGACAGTGTACGATGATCGAGTTGTTCGCTTCCAGGACTAATATGAGTTTTGACAGATGAGATAGAAAAAGGACCTCTCGTCTCTCTCGTCCCTCTCGTTTCAAACAGGATTGACCAAAAAAAGACCCCAATTCCTGATCACTTTCGTGTTAAGCAGGAGTTGATAAAGTGGTGGTGGGTCACCATAGACAGTGTGGTATGTGTGTGAAAAAGATAAAAAGTAAGTCAGAAGAGACGCCCTCAACGGAGAGCACTCTTGAACTGCCTCAGGAGGGCGCTCTCGGGTCTGCGCCACGCGGCATCGACATCTGGTCGTGGCTTCTTGCCCTCTCCGTTCTGCACGTCGCCCCGTCTGTGCTTGCGCGCGGGTCTGGTGTCCATGACGGGAGTGGGCTCGGGATCGGGATCTGTCTCGGGGCTTCTCTCCTTGCCAATGTCCCATTCACGCTCCTCGCCTCGCTTGCGCCACTTGACATCGCGGACGTCACCGTCGTTGTCGTCGTTGGCCAGCAGGCCACGAGACGTAGAGGCCGACTTTTCCCACCGTGCAATCTCCTCGGCGGTGAACCCGGCGTCTTTCATGCGCTCGGCCTGCTTCGCGCGCCAGGCTCTCCGGTCTCGAAGCGCGGTGAGCGCCGATGTCCATTCGTCGTCGGGGTCGCCTGCTTGGTCTTCTGGGTTTAGTTCGTCCGAGTCGAGGGCCGCGTCGTGTGTGGAGGGGTCGTATGTCGGGGAGAAGTGGGCGTCGATGTTGGAACGGGACTGGTGAGATGTGTGGTTGTGGTGATTGAATCCTCGGCCACGGCGCCGGGGACGCTGGTCAACGGTCGATATTGGGTGCGGACCAATGAGCTGAGCGAGAGGGTCAGAAGAGGTTGAAGATGACGACGAGGCACGAGCACGACGGTGTGTATCCTTTGATCCTGATAGCTCCATGTCGCTGGGCGGAGAATGCTGACGAAATCTGCGTTCACTGTCTGGTTGTCTGTGCCTTTTGCGTGTCTCCCCTGGTCTCCTTTCCCTGCTTCTGGACCTGGATCGTGAACGAGATCTTCTTCGCCGTGGAGAGTCATTATGTCGAGACCGTTTATACTCATGGAACTCGTCGGAGTCGCCATTTTCATGCTGGTGTTTGCGCCGCCTCCTTTTCTTTTCGTCTCGTTCCCTTTGCCGCTTCGGGTTCCTGCTGTGTCCAGACACTCGAGTGCCGTCTCGTTTGTCTCTCTGGGCTTCCCTGTCGTCCTCACGAGCATCACTCGTTCGGCGTCTCTTCCGGTCCCTTTCATAATGTTCCCCATCATCCCGCTCCCGTCGCCGATGTTTTCTAGCGTCTCGCTCCGCATCTCTAATGTTCTGTAGACGGATCCTTGCCTCTAGTTCCTCCTTCTCTTTCAATTTCGCATTGTGACTGTCGGCTTCACGGACCAGTGTTTTCAGAAAGCGAGTGTTCGGTTTCGGCGCGGAACCCGCAGGTCTTTTGGGCAGCAAGGCAGACATGCCCTGGGAAGCATACCGCAGCGAACTCTTCCGGGCATCCTCGACGAGGAGTTTGGCAACGTAGTCATCGTCGTCGTCGAGGCTGGTTAAAAGTGACATGGTTCGATACTAGTGCTAAAAGATATCTCAGCGGGGAGCAATGTCATCTGCAATGTCAAATACTCTACTTACCTTGTGGGATAGAAAAGGGAGTCCGTGTGCAGTGGTGGGGTGTCCTGGCACCTGGGTGTCACTGAACTTCGCTGGCGCGTTCGGCGCACTTTCCCTTTTCCAAAAATTTCCACAGCCTCGTCTCCGATAAGCATGCGCTGTAAGCCGGAGTTGTGCGGTACGAGGTCCTCGGTGCTCGTTCGCAAGTCGGGTTGATTGAGATGCGTATCACAGGAGTCTGGGATTTCTGATCAGAGATGCTGTCGCGACTGACACGGTATTTCAGGGTGGACCCTATTGCCAACACAGGTTCTGTGGCTCGCGATCTCCTTGCCTCCGAGAGAACCTTCCTCGCATGGGCCCGAACTGGCCTCGGTTTCATTGCTTTGGGAGTTGCTCTCGAGAAAGTGGAAGCCCTCGCGGCTCTGTCGCCGACATTACTTCACCTGTCCGACTCGAGGACCAAGATCGCTGCAGGAGTCCTTGTCGCGAGCGGGAGCCTCTGCGTCGGGCACGGAACGATACGCTACTTCTCCACCCTGCGCCATATACAAGAGGGGAAGTTCAGGCCCAACACGGGCGGTGTGACCCTCATGGCGGTGACGTGTATCGGGATCGCGGTGGCTGGGAGTCTCCTCGTTATTGAAAACGAAACAGAGAAAGCAAAGAGCGAGACAACGAGAAATGAACGACCTGATACACAAAACAATCCATCTTTAAGGCGGTCTAGCCTTTCCGCCTTAGCAACACCCAAGGCCCAACGGTCTAGCTGATCTATCGACACATCACATCTCAAGGAGGAACCGCCACTGCTCCTCGCCAACCTGCTTATCTCGACTATGCCGCCGCTGCAGAAGTTCCAAACGGCTTTGCTTGGATGTTCTCAAAGTCGATGAATCCATAGTTGGTGAGATCCCCGGAGCCTATCTTCTGCATCCATGGCCCCATTTCTTTCAAGAAGGCCTCGACGTTCTCCTGCACCGACATGTCGATCGGCTCTTCGCCTTTGCTGACTTGCCGTATCTGGGTGCCGGCAATGACGTTTCCGAGCATGAATTCATCTGGATCGATCTTCTGATGGAGGGCACCCGAGACCTTGCCCGCCAACATGTCCTTGGGCAAATAAAACTCCTGGCACGCGGGTCGACCTAGCCCGACACCATCGACACTCTTCAACGCGTTGACCATACCCTCGACGGTCTTGAATCCGCCGGTGATGTACGACTTTGTTTTCTTCAACGCAGGAGCGATCATTTCAGCAAATTCGATGAAAAATGCCTCCCTCTTTCGGGTCGACTCCCTCTTATGGACAAATGCGAGGGACTGATACGTGCCACCCGAGAGCTCCACGAAATCGAACTCGGCCTGCTCCAACAGGACGCAGAGTTCTTTGGCTTCCTCGGGGGTGAATCCGTCTTCCTGGAACTCTACCGAGTTGACCTTGATTCCAAGCACAAAGCCTGACGATCCAGGCAGCTTCTGGCGAATGGACTGAGCGATTTCGAGGATGATCCGAGCACGGTTTTGTAAAGAACCGCCATATTGGTCGGTCCTCTTGTTGGTTGTCCGACTGAGAAATTGGGCCAGGAGATAGCCATGAGCACCATCTAGAGACGCGATTAGCACACCGGAAATCGGTGGGGAGTGTCAGCTCAGGTCAAAGTCCGGGGTACTCACGAAGCTCGATACCGTCGTACCCAGCTTTGGCTAGATACTCGGCGGCATGGGTGAAGCGGTTGACGATGTCTTTGATCTCTTCGAGCGAGGCTGCGTGGGGTTTGGCGAATTTCATCCCCGTGAGGCTTCTGACTAGTTGAACATCGCTGGCGGAGACGGGATTGGACTCGAGTCTCTCTTCGACTTGACGGCCTGGGTGGCTGACCTGGCCCAGGATCAAGTTTCCGTGCGCTGCTTTGGCTTGAGTCGCGATCGCCTTGAACCCTTCGAAACGGGGTCCCTCAAAGGGGGCATCTGGTGGGATGATAGGGTTGCCAGCTGGAATTCAGATGTGTTAGTCTCGGATGTTCCTCCAAACGGCATGAAAAGGATATTGTCGAGAGAGACGTACGGGCTTCCAAACTCTTATAGTCGACCATGATATTGCCCGTCAGAATCACGCCAAAATCCCCTTCTCCCCATCTTCGATAGACTTCGGCGAGTCCTTTGGACGGAACACCTCGTTTCTCCAGATGAACGGGATCCCACGACGAAAGACGCTCAGTCATGGCGGCCTTGAGGAAGCGGTTGCGGGCCGTGCGGCCACTGAACTCGAACTTGAGTGGTTGGCCCAGGGGGGACGCATCCTTGATGGCCGAGGGGTACCTGTCACCCATGTTGGTGGTAGCTGTTGCGTTTCGACAAAGACAAAGGTTTTTGGGTTTTCTCTGTGTCTTCTGGTCTGTCTGTCTTTTGCGGCTCGGGATAGAATCAGCTTTACGACTTGGTTGGCTAATGGGAGAGAATGCGATAAATGTAGAGACAAATAGAGACACAGTTAGATATATATACCGAGTACCAAGTACCTCGTATCGTACTTGTCCTTGTCCTTGTCCTTGTTATTCTCCTCCAGTGTTCCCCACTCGCCTTCGAGAATCCTCCACGGACCAAAAACAAATGTCACTTTACAGTGTCCAGTAATTGTAATTGTCTCTCTTTGTTGAACAAGCTTCTTCTGCATACTATAGCACAGCCCAGGCACAACGAGTCGTGCCGTTCCCATGCCCAAGCCATCCCAGTCCATCGTTCATCGCAACAATATCACGCCATGATCCCGGTTCGAAGCGACTCGACTCCACCGAGTCTTTCGCGTGCCGAAGCGGACGAAAAAAATCTCCTCTCTCCCTTTCCGTCCTCAGTCGACCGTGACCCTCTTTTTCAGCCCACCGTGGAACCCATCCAATCCAATCGAGTCTTTTGGTTCTTTGGTATTTACCTTGGTCGTTTTGTAGAAATTACTCTTTTCGTCCACTATCCAATTCCTAATCGAGAGTCCACGGGCCGTGTTCGGGTTTCTAATCGCTTCGGCAGTGATTCCTACTTCGGTTGAGAGCCGCTTTTCATAATTATCATTATTACACACCCTCTCACGTTGTACATGGTACTTGCCTCTCTGGGTATCTATCTAATACACACATTACATGGGTTCAGACAATGTAAGGTACCAGGCACAGGCACAGGTACCAGGTTCACCTACAAGGTACAGATCCCTCAACCTTGCGCGTCTACCATCGACTATGTCTTGTGATTTTTCTGTATAAAAAAAAATAAAAATAAAAAAAAAGAAATCCCCATTGAAACAACTGCGAAACCCAACTACGAAGCACCAATCATTATTCATCAGCTGGATAAATTGGGATTAATGCACAGCGCACTAACCTGCATGATTGGAAATCCGGGGGAATTCAACCCTCCGGTCCCCCCGCAAAAAGACGAGTAATGGAGGGAGAGGCAGAAAGGGTACATCTAGTATAGTTACCAGTATAGTTAGTTTGTCGGTGATATGGTACATGCCGCTTCACGCCGGTCATTGTCGTTTGTATGCTCGTGTTCCCGAGCAGCTAGGTACATGTAGGTACAACGTGCTATCGAGGGTACTATCCGTGCCCACGCCCACCACCACCCCCTGATGACATATCTACTCATATACTTACATAGGTAGATGGGATTGGGGAGATAGATAGCAGGGCTCGGAACTACCTTGTCCCCAAACCGCACCCGATTTCCGAGACAGGAGACAGGACAGCAAATCGCAAAGGACATACCAAACTGCCTTATGTACCGACTACGGTACTCGGTGCGTATGTAGGTACATCCTTCCGAGTCTAGCTGGGTCCAAGCCCCAATCCCAGATCCAGTGCTACTTGGTCCTGCTTGGTGCTTATTGTGACGACCAAGCGCACCATGTCACTGAACGACAGGACAAGACAAGACGGCGCCAAAGTCATCAGGGCCACCATGGCAGAGACTCCACAAATAAGTGAACGGAAAGCTGACATGTGCAATTTCCTGGTAGGGTATCGACACAACATGCCAATCCCATCGCCGTCTCGTGGCCTCCTTGACTCCACGATATCTCCGTGCGGTCAGCTCACTCACTCCTCACTCACTCGGTCATTTCCTAGAGAGCCTGATGCTGCTGCTGCTGCGGTGTCCGCCTTGGAGCGAGCTGGTCCGTTATAGAGGAACCGAACACTCAAGTATAACAAGTGGATATTCAAAGAAACACGTCAGTGACGTGCCGTTGTCGGTGAACCTGATAAATCAAACACAACGGCAAAGTCGGTATGCCGTCTTGTCTTGTGCGTAACAAGAAAGGGAGAATGTGACGTGCCATTGTCAGTATCCTACGCTGCTCACTGACCCATTGCTCGAAGGGACATGTGACTATGACGTGCCACGCAAGCCTGTCAGAATGTGAAGTAAACGACGATCACCGAGGGCGGGACAGGAGATAGGAACAGCGGACTGCAGGTTGAGTCGAATAGCTGAACAGCTGGTCGACGGCAAAGACAAAACGGACAAAGACACTGGGAACAGGGAACGACCCAACCTCATCAAACGTGCATTCTGTTGTTTTCTGGCCAAAAAAAGGAAACAGGCCGCAATGAGACTCACTATCCTGTCAATGTGCTGTCCAGGCGCCCACCCATCACAATTTATCATTCTTGTGGACAATCTTGCTGTCTCTTCCAAATTGTCTCTCTACCTCGGGCAGAGTTCGGCTGCCGTCGGAGAACTCCAGCTTGTCAATCCACACCTTTGCCTGCTCGAAAAAGGACATCTGAATCATGTTCTGAAGCGACGAACGCAAGATGATCATTTCCACGCCCTTCCATTTGCTGGGCAACCGATGAACCGCGGATTTGGCGGTGGACCCGATGGCCGCACCGAGACTCTGATTGGCAGTGGAAGTAGGAAGAGAAGAGCCCACGAGGTTGTTTTGAGCACGG